GGGAGGGAGGGAGGGAGAGAATCCCCAAGCTGAGGCCCCGCTGAGTGCAGAGCCCGACGCGGGGCTCCATCCCAGGGCCCTGAGATCCCAGGACCTGGACGCCCAACTGACTGAGCCACCCAGGCGACCCCATAAGCCCCAATTTTAGTGGGGCCCTGGTGTCCCATCTGATCCTGGGGCACCTCTGGGAAGGGCCGGGGTCGCCACCCTGTGTTGCCGGCATGGTGTTGCAGGACCGTCCTCCAGCCGGCAGCTCAGGTCTGGACGCTGGGGGAGGCTGCCGGCCTCCGTCGAGGAGACTGTTCCATGTGCTGTTCCGTGTGAGCATGCGGCCCCTCCAGCTTGACCCGGAGCCCCAGGGCCCAAAGCCTGTCCCTGCAGCTTCTCGCCACCCTTGCCTCTGCTCTCTGGGGAGCTGGTTTTGTCACGGTGTCCGCGACTCCGAGGTTCCCGGTCCAGGTGCCCTCCTCACGTGTGCCGCCCTGGGAACACAGGCTGAGCCTTCCGGTCCCTTCCTCAGCACCCCCAGGGTCATTCAGGCGGGCGCCCAACTTCCCAGAGCCAAGCCAGCGCCATGCAGTCAAGCTCCAGCCCCGGCCCGGCTGCTCCAGAGCCGTGCCGCCGCCCAGAACACGTCCCCGGGGCTGTGTGGACGCGCGGCGTTCGCTGCTCTCGCTGCTCCTGGCTCGCTGCCTGCCGCCTCTCAGCTCTCTGCTCTGGCTTTTGCATCGGCTCTTCTGGGTTTTCCGTATGTGTGAGGATATCCCCGAAAGTCTGTCCCTGCTGCTGTGACGGCACCCAGGCCCAGGGCGTAGAGCACGGACGATTCCGCCTCCCAGCTCTGGGGGCTGATGTCCCCTCCGTGTCCTCATGTGGCAGAAGGGGCGGGGCGGCTCCCTGGGCCTCTCCACAAGGCACCCGTTGCATCGTGGGGACTGCACCTGCCCACGGCCGCACGTCCAGACACCATCACTCATTCAGTCCCAGCAGACGGCTTTTCGTCTTCCCCGTGCCGCACCCCTCATGCCTCCACACAAGCGCGAGAGATGAGGACTGAGGACAAACAGGCCCCCTGCCTAGAGGGCCAGAAGGAGGCCAGGCCCCTGCTGCTCGCTCCACGCCCTGTGGCCCTGCAGGTGCACACCTGGGGCGGGGGCAGAGATGCCGGAGGAGAGGGGGAGGCAGGGCGGGTGGGAGGACTCTTCTGCTCGCATTCTGCGGGCCGGGACAGCTCTGACGCAGAGCGCAAGCAGCCACAGGTGAGGAGCTGGAGTGTGGACATGGAGCCCGTGGTCGCAGCCCCCCAGAAGCATTGCCGTGTTGGGCACAGCCCAGAGGCTCAGGGTTCCAGTGGGAGGAGGTGCGGCTGGAGGGCCAAGCCAGGAGAGGATGTTTGGGACAGGAGTGGGGACCGAGGATGCAGGGGGCAGGGGCTTCGGAGTCCTGCTCCCACCTCTGCACACTGCTGCATCTGCCCTCACATCTGCTCGGGCTGGGTCACATCCTTCCTGTGCTCCGAGTGCCCAGCAGCCCCGTCTTGCTTGGGTCAAGGCTGGAGCCCTTGCAAGGGCCTCGAGACTGCTCTCTTCCACCCACTTCCCCCCCAGCTCCAGCCACTGCTGGTGAGCCCCACCCCAGGGCCTTTGCACAGATGCTGTCCTCCCTCTAGCCTCTCCTAAATGTCCCCTCCTTGGGCCGCTTTCCTGGCCACCCCGGCAACTCCCTGCGCCTTCCCACACCTCCTGGACCCTCTGGACTGACACACATTGTTATCTTCTCACCATCCTTGTGCAGATGCTGGGTGGCTTGGGAACTCGGGGAGCGGGGTCTGCTGCTCATTTCGCCGGTGCCCACACAGCAGGTGCCTGGTCCACACGCGGGCAAAGGGAGGAAGGGCTCGGGTCCCAGCCTCATGCGCGCTGCGGCCCTGGAGTAACCAGGAAGGCCCTCCAGTCGCCTCCGGGGCGCGAGTGCGTGGGGCGCCCTGCGTCTGGGTGCACACAGGCCCCAGGCCTTCCGGGCCTCTTCCCTGGTGCTGAGGGAGCTGAGTAGTTGTCATGACCTCTTCGATCCAAACGCCTTTTGAACTGTTCATTTCTGAAGAGCAGTCTTTGTGGAAGAAAAGCCACAGCCAGGTTTTACATGAGGCTTGACGCTCTCAGGTCGGGAGACGTACAGGGACCGCGTGGAGGGCTGTGCTGCGTCCCACTGGGCAAAGCCCCTGGAGAAAATGCCGGCCCCACCCTGCCATGGCGGGGGGCAGTGGGGGACGTGTGCTGACGGTCGGTGGACAGGGAACAGACCCGTGAGGCGGGGCAGCGCGGCGCGGGGCTCGGTGTGTGCATCCGTGGTGACCGGAGCGCAGCTGGTTCCTCAGAGCGTCCGCTCCTGGCTGCTGGCGTGCTCGTGGAGACATTAGCCCTGGCGGAATGCAAAATACCTTGTGTATGCACTTGTAACGTCCGCCACTGTAAGGTATCCCCCAAATGCAAGCAACGAACCTCACGACGGTGGAAACGTGAGCAAGCTAATGGACGTTACGATGCAGGACTCGCTGACTCAGCGTGGAATGCTCCGTCTGTCTCCCCCGTGACGTGTGGCCCTGCTTTGCCGTCGTCCTGCAGACATGCGCGTCCGTGTGGGGGAGTGAGGAATGAACAGAGCGTGTGGCATTCACGCCTGGGCCGCGGGCTGTGTGCAGCCAGACTGAGGGGTGTTGAGGAGGAGGGTCTGGCCGGGGCCCTGGGCTGGGTGGGGCTCTGCCCGCGGAAGATGGACCGCCCCTCGGCAGCTGGACGGCACCCCTGAGATTGTGGGGTGGGAGCTCTGCCCTCAAAGCTGACCCACCGTGAAGCTCCATGCCCCGTGCTTCCAGTCCCCCACCTCAGGCCCCAGACAGCTGGGCCGTCATGGACCCACGTGGCTGCCATCCATGGAAGGAGCAGCTTGCAGGGGAGAATGAGGACGTGACCCCCAGGTTACTCAGACTCCGGGGAAGGTCACCATGACATGGGGGTCACTCAGCGCTCGTGGGTGCCTGCCAGTACCCCTTGTAGGATGAGGTTTGGGACGAGTTGTCGAGTGAAACACACAGCAGAGTTCTAGAAACGGCTGCGACCTGCCCCCTGTGCCCTTGGTGAGTCCCATGGCCTTGGGCCCCTCCCTCTGGTGAGCCTGGCAGTAGAACTGGGTCCACTCAGCAGGGACGTGCAGGCCTCAGCCGGCACCCAGGCGGCCCGCGCTGCCAGGCAAAGTGGTGACGGTGGCAGGGGATGTCTGATGGGTCAGGGGCTCCCCAGGCCCAGGAGGGAGGCACAGCAGCCCCTGCAAGCAGGGCTGGCCCCGGGCACTGGCAGTGGGACTCGGAGCGAGCTGAGAGCACAGTGTCCGGGGTCTGGGGCAGCACCCAGGGGTCACAGGGTCTCAGTGGGCACAGTGGGCAGGACCAGCAGCGGATGCCCCACCTCTCAGCCCTCAGTGACTCTGGTTATGGAGACGTTCTTGTCCTTGACCGCAGGGAGAAGTGGGGCAAGGTGGAGTGCCGCTTGCCCAGGCAGAGAGCGAGGCCACGTGGAGCACACCCAGACGCTCGGTCCAGAGTGGCCGTGAGGAGGAAGGGTCCTCCTTCTGTCTGGCAGAGCACTCGCTCCTTTCCGAAGGGGCACAGTGGCAGAGTCTCTCCCAGGAGAGCCCGCCAGGGAGTCCCCTGCAAGCCGGGGATGGCCTGTCTGAGCAGACCCGGACCTCCAGGGGGGTCCCTCGGTGGCTTGTGCGCCGGCTCATAGATGAGGCACAGTATGGCGGCCCCTTTGGGAAGAGGACAGACTCGCCCTTCCTGAGAGGGAACAGGGATACAGCAAGTTAGGTTTACTGGGGACATCCCCATTGAAAACAGCCCCCAAAATGCTAATCGCATATGTTTAAAACTTCTTTCTGAAATGTTTGAAAATATGACAAAGAAAAGGGGGAACTCAGATGCTTCTAGCAAGTCTGAGCAGTTCAGGCAGTGCTATGGGGTGGAGGGTGGGGGCCACAATAGGTGGAGGGGTGACCAGTGTTCATGGATTGAAGTGGTATGTGCAGATGTTGGTTTCTGTCACAGTAATTCACTCGACATGACCTCCTTCCCCACAAGTCCTGCTTTTTGTTGTGTGTAAGACTTGGGACGTTGATGGGGCGCCTGGGTGGCTCAGTCGTTAAGCGTCTGCCTTCGGCTCAGGTCATGATCCCGGGGTCTTGGGATCGAGTCCTGCGTGGGGCTCTCTGCTCGGCGGGAAGCCTGCTTCTCCCTCTCCCACACCCCCTGCTTGTGTTCCCTCTCTCGCTGTGTCTCTCTCTGTCAAATAAATAAAATCTTTAA